TGAGACAGGGTCTCACTGTGTAGTTGAGACTGACCTGGAACTCACTATGTAGTCCAGGCTGGTCTCAAACTCACAGCGATCCTCCTGCCTCAGCCTCCCGAGGGCTGGGATTACAGGAGTGCGCCACCACGCCTGGCTTTATTTATTTATTTTTAAGCACAATCTCTATTCTGAATTTTTTGGTCTAAGAAGCTTTGTAATTTTCTTATACATCTTTTCATGCCTTCATTTCTGGTCTGAACAGAGCTATTGCCTCTCTGGAGGGTCATCGGCCTGGTCTTCATGGCATACTTAGCTTATCCTCAGGAGCCTTTCTCCTCAGTATTTAGCTCAGCGCCAGACCCCTTTGTGTTTCTCCTGTGGGTGTTCCCGCCCCCCCTTTCCCCTTCCTCCTCTCCTCCTCCCCGCTTCCACTCCTGTTTCAAGGGATGATTTAAATGTAAATGCTGAGCAGTCTCCAAGGTTAGTATCTTTAAAATAGGAGATTTGGCCACATGCACAGGCTTCTGAATGAGTTCAGAAGAGCTGTGGTGATGGAATACCTAGAGGTCTGAGTGGTGGCTGAGGTTCCACTCAGCCCTGCCTGCCTCGGTTTCTGAGGAGCAGAAGGTGACAAGGCTGTCTTCCTAGCACTTGAGCCTCTGAGAGCCAAGCCAGGCTGTAGCTGCTTGTGACAGAGATTTCATTGCCCACATTTGACACACGAGGTTGGGTTAGACTGACCTCAAACAGGTCTGTGCAGTCCAGAGCGGGCCACAGGGCCTCATCGCCTCATGGGCTACAGAAGCCGGCGCTCGGCTGCTCACTGTTGCTCCTCTTGCTTCTCTGGGAAGCTCGCCTGGAGCTCTGATGCAGAGTCTGTGTCGAACAGGGTAGCTGTTTCTCAGGCAGCTACAGCTGCCAACCCGTACCTGGGTTGGAGACTGAACAGAAAGTTCCTCTAAAAGATCACCAACTATTTCTGATTGTAAACTATAAAAAATGCTGAAGGACTGTACCCCCCGCAGTTGGTAACTTTGGAATACCAGTTTTGCCTCTCTAGAATTTCCTCGTAATCACTTTCAGTCCTTTGGGTGTTAAATCTCTATTGAGCACCTCTGCTGGAAAACTTTCTGGACCCTTTTGCTGTCACTCCCCTTAAAAGGAACTAACATTTGACCCCTGTCTTCTGAAGAGATGCCTGGGGTATGAGCTTCTGGAAGAAAATAGTGATAAGGGTTTATGTGTGTTGCTGAAGCTTTGTGAAGCTTTCATTTTCTCCTGGGACCCAAGCCTCAAAGGCGGCCTCTGTTGAGCCGCCTTTGCCCTGTGAATGGTTTGGCTGAGGGCCTCAGCTTATCAGGAAGACCCTGGCGGCATGTGGAGTGAGAGGTGCTGCCTCTGGTGTTGGCCCCCTGCTCAGAGCAGGATTTTTCCCAATGTGCGACACAGATGAAAGGGGTGCTTGCCTTGCTCCTCAGTCAGAGAGTGGGGTGTGAGTCATTTGATGCATCTTGTGTTACTTCTCCACCCTTCTCTTTGCCTTCTCCTCTCCATGAAACCAACCACAATTTGTTTCCTTTGCCGCTTTCCTAATGGGCAAAATGACTTTGCTGGTTTCCTCCGAGAGAACCCAAATCCTGCCCACCATTGCTTTACTGGGGGTTACTAGGGATATATTGCTGGTCTTCTGTTGTCTCACCTATCTTCTATTTTTACCCTTCCTTGATACTCTCTAAAAAATCCATTCAGTATACAAAAGGCATCAGCATGCTCTCTTTTACTTAAAACCAAAAGGATAACCTGAGAATAAGTAAGTCCTTTCTCATTTCAGTTAGGACAGTTTTTTGCTTTAGTCCAGCCTCTAGGAGACCCTTTGTGTGTTTGGTGAGTTCCTGCATTCTGTTAGTCTGCTCCTGGGTGCTAATTACCCTTTCTTTTTGTTCCCAAGAGATTGAGTTCCTTTTGGATATATATGTGGCTGTGTACTAATGTTCTTGGTAAGTCAGTAGACATATTGCAGAGTCTGATAATTTTCAGCCAACTAAGTTTTGGTTCCAGGCCTTGGTTAGCTGACTATGCCTTTATTTCTCTCTCCAACCTAGGATGGTGATCGAGACATTTTTATCGACGGGGTTGTTGCTCGTAATAGAGCCTTAAATGGGGATCTAGTGGTCGTAAAACTACTTCTGGAGGAGCAGTGGAAGGTGAGTTAAATTTTCCTTTTGTAATTATATCCTTCTTAGGGACTCTTGTAGTCTGTGGTGTACCCACAAGGTGGTGTGTCAATGGGGGTCTCTGCCTCCAGTGGCCCCGTGGTGAAAATTGGGTGTTGACTTCAAAGAAGCTGCTGAGAGGCACCTGCCAGGCAGACATCTGATAATTTGAGTGGTCCTCGCTCTCTGTCCAGTCTGTCCACCCTGTCACATGCCTTGCACTGGATGTGGAGAGATGAAGCCATGGGGATGGTGGCTTTCTCCACACACTTCTGCTGCCTTTGCTAGAAAATCAGAGCAGGACACCTTGAGTGCCATCGGGCCTAGTTTGGTGCTAGGGCTTCCCTTGGCAGATAAAATAGTATGTGGATTTTTATAAAACAGATTTAGTGACTGGTCCGAAATGACACAGTGGCTGGTGAGCAGTAGGAAGGGACAGCATTTGGCAGAGCACTGGTGGGAGTGGATGTACAGAGGAAGAGGTTGCTGGGCAGAGCAAGGCCAAGTTGCCTGGTACCAGTCCTGCCCTTGGCCTCAGGCAGGAGATAGTTACAGTAGATAGGAATAAGTAAATGTGCTGCTTTATTCACCCTTGTGCCCTCCCCACTTTGTTGATAAGACGAGGAAGGGTAGCCTTTCCTGCTATTGCGAGGATTGCTTTTGCTTTGGGCAGGAGGCCTAAGAAACAGTGGGTGACTGACCAAATCTTGGGGCTAGGTTGGGGGCAAAGGTGTTTGTTATTGTTGAGGTCTAGGACAGCTTTAGGATTTGTTATTCTAGATTCTGCTGTGGGACCTTTGCTTCTTGGATGAAAGTTAGTACCTTATTTGGGACTCAATGCACAAAGTTGTGCTTTTCCTGAAATGCCTAATTTTTTTGTTTGTTTGTTTTGTGTTTTTGAGACTATGTATTTGAGACTGACCTGGAGCCCACTATGTAGCCCAGGCTGGTCTTGATCTCACAGTGATCCTCCTGCCTCAGCCTCCTGAGAGCTGGGATTACAGGTGTGCGCCACCATGCCTGGCTCTGAGATGCCTAATTTTAATGAATTCCTAGGTCACTGAAACTAGGTAAGCGCTTTGAGGAAATAGGTAGCATCCCCACAATCACGCTTCACAGGGGACAGCCAATTAGGAAGACGGAGAGAAGTAGGGATATATTTTGAAGAGAGAAGCAATAGGAATCGAAGATGAATTTGAGTGAAAATGTGGAACTGGGGCCAGCTGTGAAAGGATTTGGGTTTAAGCAAAATGGTAAGGTGTCATTAATTGAAGCGGAGAATGGTGAGGAATAGGATGCTTATTGTCAAAGTTACTAGTTTTACATCCTTATAATTTTGTTTTTTTAGATCTGTTACTGAGAAAATATGGAAGCCTATGTGACTTCACTTACTGGTGAATTATAAATATTTAAGGAAGACACAATCTTGGTTTCACACATACTTCAGGAGAATATGGGAGATGGAAACATTTTTAACTCATTCTATGATCTGGCATTGCTGTTAGTACAACAGTTCAAAAAATTAGCAAATAGAATCTAGCAACATATAAAAAGGATAATTCAACATGAGCAGGTATGATTACACAGGAATACAGTGTTGGCTTAGTATTTGGAAATCAGTTCTTGTAATGCATTATCTTAATGGACTAAATTTACATTTCAGTCAAACATTATCATTTCAGTAGATGCAGAAGGTACGTTCTACAGCCATCCAGACAAACTAGGGACAGAGATCAGACCCTCAACTCCATAGAGAATGTGTAGGAGATATTTACAACCAGTGTCATCCATAGTAGTGAAAGACCTCATCCCTCTAATATTGAGAATGAGCTAAAAATGTCCCTTTTCATCTTTTATCCCCTTTCTCATACCTTTTTTTTTTGTACTGGGGATCGAACTCTGGACCTTGTGCCTGTGAGGCAGGCGGAACCACTGAGCTAAATCCCTGGCCCATCATACTTTTAACTTAACATTGTACTGGAGATTCTAGCCAGTATAAAAAGGCAATAGGAAAAAAAAAAAGCATTCAGATTGAAAAGAAGGAATTAAAGCTTTTTATTTTCAGACTGTTTAATTGCCTAGTAGAAACTCCAAAGAAACATAAAGAAACAAAGAGAGAAAAAGCTGCTAGAACTAATAAGAGATTAGCAGGATATAAGGCTGATATTATAAATATTATTTGTACCTTTATATACTAGCAATGAAATGGAAATTTAAAAATTTTTAAAGTGCCATTTGTAATAGGATCAAAAATATAAAATACTTAGGAATAAACTTGACAAAAATATATAAGACATGTACACTTACGCTATAAACCATTACCGAGAGACGTTAAATAAGAATTCAGTAAATGGTGAAAAATAGCATATTCATCAATTAAAAGACTCAATATTGTTAAGATGCCAGTTCTACTTGAATTGATCTGTAGATTTAGTGTACCCCCTACGCACCAGCAGTTTACTTATTAGAAATTAACATGCTCACTGAACTACATCCCTTGGCTTTTTAAAAATTTTTATCGAGGCAGGGTCTTGCTGAGTCATTGAGTTTGTCCAGGCTGGGTTTGAACTTGTGAGCTTCCTGCCTTAGCTTCCCAGAGTGCTGGGGTTACAGGCTTGCACCGCCATGCTTGACTTAACTCATTTTAGGATTTACATGCCCATGTAAAGAACCCAGAAGAGCTAAAATGAAGAATAAAGTTAGAGGACATAACAGTGCCTGATTTCAAGACTTTCCAGTAAAGCTCCTGTAATCAGGACGGTGTGGTATTAGCACTAAGGTAGATGCACACAAATCAGTGGAACAGAGTAGAGAATCTGGAAATGGGCCGAGGCATTATGATTAATTGGTTTGCTACAAAGGTGCTAAGGTAACTCGATGGAGAAGGGCACTGTACTGGTAGAAAAAAATGGTACAGTCACTTGGAAAACAGTTTTTAAAACATTAGGCATCCACCGAACATGAGACCTCCCTATTCCATTCTTGGGTGTGTACCTTAGTAAAATGAAAGCATCTATTTGCATAAAGTCTTTGTGTGTGTGTGGTACTGGGGATTGGCTACATGCGTACTTGGCAAATGCTGTACTGAGCTACGTCCCCAACTCTTGTTTTACTTTTTAAAAATTTTTGAGACAGGATCTTGCTAAGTTGCCCAGGCTGGCCTTGAGCTTGTGATTCTCCTGTCTCAGCTTCCTAAGTCCCTGGTATTATATATATAAAGTCTTACATGGGAATGTTTCAGCTTTATTTGGAATAGCAACAGAGTGGAAGTAATTCAGATCTACATCAGCATGTGAATTTATAGACCAATTTTAGTATATCCATTCAATGGGATACAACTCAGCAGTTAAAAAAAATTTGAATGATTCACACATGTTACAGTGTATGTAACTCTTTAAATATTGATGGTGGGTCAAAAGAAGCCAGGCAAAAAGAGTGCTCTTGGTATAATTCCATTTATATAAAACTCTAGAAATGCAAACTAATTAGCAGCGCCAAGCAGCAGACAGTGGTTGCCTGGGTGTGAGCAGAAGACAGATCCCCACGGGCCCTGGGCAACGTTTGTGAGCGATGGATGTGCTCGCTGTCTCAGACTATATCAGGACTTGCCGTTTCTGTACACATTAACTATTTATAGCTTATGGTGTGTTAGCTTTACCTTAATAACACTGTGAAGAAATTACCGGAAGCTGAACAAATGAAGGCTTTTGTACGAACAACAAATGAAGGCTTTTGTATGAGCGAGCCCGCAGTTCTAAGGCGAGATGGGAGCTAGAGATATACATTTGGGTCACCAGCATCCATGTGGGGAGAAGGCCAGGTGCAGAGAGCTGCGTGCTCCATGCTGTGGGGGCACTGGCCCTGATGGCAGCTCCCAGCTGCACTAGGCCTCGGAAAGGTGGATGCAATTGGAGCATATAGGGGGCAGAAGTCCAGCAAGGGGGTCAGCAAGCTCGGGCTCTTATAGTGACCTCGAATCCAAGGGCCTTGTGATGTACCTTGCTTGCTTCTTGAGCTGGCAAGAGGAGGTTTACAGCAGGGAGGCACCTGGTCTTCAGCCCTTCCACAAGACAGGGTGATGTTCAGCACCGTCTGTCCCAGGTACAGGAGGAGGAACTCATCCCAAGATGGCAGAGTGAGGGATTTTCTGCCTTCCTCTGTGGTGGAAAATCCCCTTCTCATCAGCAGCCAGCTCCTTGACATTGAGAAGGCCTCTGGGCTGGTACAGTCAGTATCTAACTCCAGGGACCAGTGTGAGGTGTCTTTCTGGGATCCCTGAATCTTGGGTGTGGGGTGCTGCCCTCAGACGTGGTATTAGTGCTCAGCGTTGAAGAGTTCTGACTTGTAGTCAGCAGGAGCTGTCAGCCTCTGAGGCTGCCTCCAGTGGCCAGGTGGCCAGGCGTCTCGTCAGGAGGCCTGGCAGTCCCTGTCCTGGGTGGGAGGGCGTGGCCCTGAGGTCTCTGGGCAGGTGGCCAAGTAACTAGAGGGGCTGAGCAGGCTGCTTAGTATCCAGGAGCCCGGAGAGGAGACGGTTCTCAGGAGGGAGGTGTACAAAGTGTGGAGTCACAGTTTCCTGTCTTCGAGAAAAATGGGTATGGGGATCCCGGTCCATAGGCCTGGCTTGTGTTTAACCTGCAGATGGCTCACCTAGGGACTTTGATAAAATATGACTCTCATGGAGTGGTGCCCTGAGTTGTGCATTTCTAGCAAGTACCCACGTAATACAAACTCCTCCATTTGGGAGCCATACTTTGAACAACAGGCCTTCTATGAGGGGCAAGTGGGAAACAAAAGTAGCAGCTAGGAATCTGGGGCCTACTGGCCCCTGGGGATGAGCACTGCTTGGCAGGAAGCTAGCGGAGAAATATGTCTGTGGACCCTCAAGTTATGACCAGCCTGACGTTATGAGCAGCTTGGGTTATGACTGGAATTTTTTTTTTTAAACTGGGGATTGAACTCTGGACCTTGTGCTTGCCAGGTGGGTACTGCAC